ACTAGCCCAGACTGAAGCTGGTTTTATAGTGCTAGCCCAGTCAGATACCATGCCGCAGTGAAGCATGAATACCCCACTCAGACACATTATACTGACTCTGAGCCGACCAGTCCTTGTTGTACCCATTAATGCCGAGCGCCAGGCAGGGACCAACAAGTACCATATTTTAACATCTTTTTGGTATGACGCGGTCAGGGATCGAACCCGCGACCTTCCGCTCTCCTGGCGGACGCTCTAACCACTACACCACGGAGGCGGTTCGCCTCTTACGACATGCATGGGATGCTGATGACCAAGTATAACCTGGTTATTCACCATTAAGAAATACAATGTGCATATTGTGAGCTTGTCTGTTTAGTTCATTCGTCCTGCTTCTACTGGCAAACAAGGATAAGTTGGACCAGCGCAGAGAACGCGTTTACGAGAAGTTGGCGGTGCACACGGATTCCGCGCGTAGCTGCACACGCCTTGCTCATAAGACTATCACGTGGTCGGTGTAGCAAGTCGGTAATATTCGGATATATAGATATATATTTCAAGGGAATTAAACATGTCAAAGTTAGGTAAGCACGGTCAGATAATACATTATCATACCCGAGAAGTGGCATACAATGTTATTAAGTACATGGAGAAAGATGAGGTGAGGTGAAATTGGGTTTAACGTCGCTGCAGAATATTTCGCTCATATGACTCCGAGCCGACCAGTACTTGTTGTAACCATTGATGCTGAGCGCCAGGCAGGGACCAACAAGTACCATATTTTAACGCCTTTTTGGTATGACGCGGTCGGGGATCGAACCCGCGACCTTCCGCTCTCCGGGCGGACGCTCTAACCACTACACCACGGAGGCGGTCTCATGGACAAAGAATGTACATCTTCGAAACAGTCACTGTTAAAAACAAGCTATGCCACCGGTTTATCTCTCTTCACTGCTATAATGAAAGATAATTTTAACTGTAACCCTTTAGCCGCAGGGTTTTCAATATGTATGAACGTCGTCTTAAACATCGTAATTGCATTCAGTCAAGGTAATAACAATAATAACAGTGATACAATGCTTTACCCATCCACAAGGTGCAACTGTTCTGTGCAACTGTTCTGCAAGTGTTCTGTATTTTATGTATCATAATCTTGGTAATATTGCCAAATATTTTATGATTTTGTTTATATATTTGAACGCAATTTTAATGTATAATCGTGTCTCGTTGGCCTAAGTAGGCCGGATATTTTCTACAACTTGTCGATGAAATGTATTTTTATATCTGGAGAATGTGTGACACGGTAAAATAAACTAAGTTTCTTCTTCTTCTTCTTCTCTCTCTCTCTTCACTTAGGCGCATCCGAGCAGGTGTCGATCATGATAATGGGGCAGAGTAGTTTCGTTAGCCCAAGCAAGTCGCGAAATCGTCCTGTGATTAAATCCCAACTCGATGATTTCAACCAGTGCACATTCGCCAGTTTGTGCAAAACTCATATGTAGTGTGAAACAACTGCCAACCCTTGACAGTATCCATGAGATGGTCAAAACAGATCTCAATTATACGGGTTCTCGAGAATGTTTACGGTTAACTCTGAAGCAAATGGGATTGAGATGGCACAAAACGAAGTAAAATCGCAAGCTACTGATGGAAAGGAAAGATATAGTTGCAAAACGAATGTAATACTTACGAGCAATTAAAAAATACCGAGCTAAAAACCGGCCAATCATCTTTATTGATGAAAGGTGGTTACATGTGCACCACACTGTCCCAAAATGTTGGCAACTGGAGGGTGACATGGATATAGGTGGGGTTCGACCACCGTCTGGGTCTGGATCTCGGCTGATAGTAGTGCATGCAGGTTCTGAGAACGGATTTGTGCCAAATGTACTGCAAATATTTGAGGCTAAACTCAAAACGGCAGATTATCACGATGAGATGAATTTTGAGAATTCCTCAAAATAGTTGAGTGAAAAATTGATACCCCATATTCCACCCAACTCCGTTATTGTTATGGACAACGCTCCACTCCATGGCAAGCAAGTTGACAAGTGCCCAACAACCACCAATAGGAAGGGTGACATCAAAGCTTGGCTAAAAAGGCACGATATTGCGTTCAATGACAAAATGTTCAAAGCCGAACTGTTGTTTCTTGCCAAATCTAACAAAGCCGGTCCCGTATATCGCGTAGCTACCATACTGTAGTAACATGGGCATGTCGTTCTGCGGTTACCTCCGTACCATGCAGATTTGAACGCAGTTGATATGGGCCAATGTCAAGAATTATGTTGCCATGTTAATACGGGTCAGTTGTCAGGTCGGTGCTCAACTTATCCTTGTTTGCCAGTATTCCCTGCAACATCCCTCTAATCAAATCTTATATTCCAGAAAAACTCGAGCCGAGCATTATGTTCTGTATGTTTGTTGTTAAACGACCACTCAGCAATATTCAAGCTATACTCCTCACAAAAAATTAAGCAACAAGTATTTTCAGTTTAATATCTTTATCAATCTCGATAGCGAAATTTAAATATTCAAAGAATACATAACCTTTAGTGACTGTCACATTGATTTACCTGATAACATTGACATCATCACCCGAACACATCCACTCTCAGAAACAACTTGCAAAATATGTGGCATGAATGTGCTCAGCTTTCAACAGATGCACCCTGATCGGTGTGAACCTACCTGTAATCATTCCTCTGGAACAACAACCGGGTCCTAAACTTCCATGCCCGTCCTTGGAATAATGCCTGAGAAAGAGTTGTAAATGAAGTTGTTTAGATCAACATCATCACACATATGGAACTGACCTGCAAGCTCACTTGATTTTAATCCCATTGAACATGCTTGGGACATTATTGTAAGTTGTGTTCAGGGTCTTGATGTTCACCCCGTAGACTCTGGATGACCTTGAGCAGGCGGTACAGAGAGAATGGCAGAACATTCCACAACAGCAACTTTAAAGGCTCATTTGGTCAACGCAAAGACCTGTAAAGGTTGCATTTGTGCTCATGGTGGTCATATGTCTTACTGAACACTGCTTCTCTGTCCAAAACTGACTTGAACTTTAATGTTACCATTTTGCTCCATCAATGCAGCACATTTTGCACGACTGTTTCACGGGTACATGCTTTTGATGATTTGTAAGTCTATTATTGCTCAATACCATTTAACTACATTTTGTTAATCATGTGTACATATGTATCACCATTCTATTGCATCATTCCATGATTTGCAATTTCAATAAATGAAAATGTAATGAGACTAAACATTTGTGTTGCTTAACTTTTTGTGAGGAGTATATATGGCGGCAGTGTGTAAATAATATGTGTCTGGTCCAGACAATCCAGTGATCAACAGCATGAGCTTCAAACTACACAACTGGGATACGATGACATGTGTCAACCAGCTGATCCCTTTGGACAAGCATTTGTTGCCGAAGACCAATTCCAACACCCGGATATTCACTGGTTGCTGAACTAAAGAATAACACTGAAACATAACCCTGTAAATGGTTTATATACAATGTAGATTAAGACACAATGACAGCAATCGGCAGATTTATGTACATTTCTATATATTTTGCACGCTCCATGGACAACAGACTACTTAAACAGGTCCAGCACATCTTTCCCTTTTGTCATTACATAAAGTGTGTGTGTCATTTAACCAAAAGGGACTATTTCAGAGATGCCATCCCCAGTTTGGACACTTTACTCCAAATAAAATGGCATTTATATATTTGTACAGCAACTAGCAGTCAATATTCAAGCTCACCATTGGCTGTGGAAAAGTAATGACATCAATTCGTGATTAGTGCTTACTTACTCTTTCACGAGTTTCTGTGTAAGCCTGTTATGAAGTATATCTATTCGAATGTCAGAAATATGTCAGACAGATGTTTCAGCAGTGATAAAAAAACATTTATATAATTGCAATTTATTAATTTTTTTCGTTTTGTCATTTTAAAAAACAATTTCAGTGGCTTCATTTGTAGTCATTTTTCTTTGTCATCATGGTAACAAGTTGAAATATCTGATGCCTCATCAAAGAAATCTGAACCATTATTCATATTCCATCTTCAAATTATGCTTAACCCCAACTGTTGTTAAACTACAGTCAGCCACACACACAAACAGCAAATTCTCCAAGTCGTATCTCAGCTTACACCTTTCAGCTTCCACACAGAGTTACTCCCCTTACAAAGGGAGATAATGATGCCATAAACTCCAGACAAGAAGACCATGGCCACCTTTGTGTTGTCTGTCCTACCATGCGTGGAAGTTGGTATTACAAGTATCACTTGTCTCTATCTTTTCATTCAAAGTACTTACATCAGAAAAAAAGAGTGAAATATTGTGAGTAAGAACAGATTTCTCAAAACATATTTTGAAAATATTTACCACAAAGAAATGAAATCTATAAGATAGAGATTAGCTCACTAAAAAAAAAATGAATTCAACCAAAAATTAATTATTCAAACTTATGATAGTGACTGTGTTATGACAAGAGTTGAAAGATGATAGTCAACCCAATTCCTCCAGTACCCAAGACCCTGTGCTCCCCTCCACAGAGTAATCTGAGCGCTACAGTTAACTTAACATGGACACAATCGTGACAAAGTTGTACCATATTTCAGCTACATTATCAAGTGAAAGCTTTTTGAGGGATTAAAGCCACTTTGGTTAAAAACACAAATTCAACCAAGAAACAACAGATCCCTCGATCATTACATTTCTGATGCATTAAACCATGTCGAAAAGCAACATTTCACATGGAATCATTGGTAACCGACAAATTTGCCATCATGATCAACTTTAACACCAATCAACGACTGTACCTTTGTAGATCACACAATGGAACGTTTCATTTAGTATTCGTCTATAAGGAACCCACTGGACATCAATTGGGACTTAAAAACAATGATTTATGTAAATTGAAAGCTTCAGTTTCAGTTCTGACTGAAGAACAATAAAAGCACCCGTCTTGTCCCAATGTCAGATGAATATCCCACATTTTGGAACTTCGTAACAAAGGACTACAAGACCAACAGCTTTGTTCTGTTGAAGAACTAGTAAGTTTAAAGCACTTCAAATCTATATTCTCACATTCAAAAAATGTCTTTGTAACATCAGGAATTCAAGTGTCGTCATGATCCATGGTGAATATATTCAGGACTCCATCATATCTGTGTTATTGGACGTCGTCTCCTCACTAGCTGGCTGATTGTTGTTGTTCGTTACACGAAAGGACTTCTGTAACACATAGGCGTCCGCTGGCTCTATTCGCTTGTAATAGTTTTGTTTTTCTTCCACAATTTCAAACCCAAACTTTTAGTAGAATCTAATCGCACCATCGTTGTTTATTTGTACATGTCTGAAAACATACAAGATACGAATAAGTGAATAAGTGAGTGAGTAAGGGAGTTGGGTTTAATCAAAGTGACTATTTCGATAGGGCTGTGTATTGGCAAATAATTGTATTGCAATATAGAGCTTAGGCCAGACCAATTTTATTTCTTGTTTTACGGATCTGCCGGTCATATTTTTTCAAGAAAATTGAAAAAATATTTCCCCACTCAAAAAATAAAATCCTAATGTTTTATTGGTCAAAACTGTAAATTTACAAGAAAAGTTTTTTGGGGGATTGTGTTTTGTCCCATATACACTTCATAAATTGCCAAATGTAAAATACTTTTAGTATTTATTTATTTTTATTTTTCCCTCCTGCCTTTAGGTTTTCTGAGGACAAAAATCCGTAAAACAAGAAATAAAATTGGTCTGGCTCTGGATTTATGTCATCCAGGCTTAGGTGTTGAAACAGTAGAGAGCATACACTCTTCCAAAACAGCATGGTCGTTTTGATTTGCCAGATACTATTCACTGTGTCAGATAGGCCTACTAATCACCACCAATACCCCGCTGATCGGGCATTAATCCGGATTAGCAGACCTTGTCTCATGTCAAGACACGTGGGACACTCGCGCTTCACTTCATCCGCGGAAGATGAAACCTTCGTGCGGATAAGTGCGGTTGGTTTGTAAAATTTACTGTCCGGGAAAGGAAACCGCATATCCGTTATAGACAGTCACTTTAATAACGTAAGAGATTGGTTTTATATGATAATTGACCGGCAATCGAGGTTTCCGGATATTTGGGGTCTGGGGTCTCACTGTATTGTGATTCGGGTACCCGTACTCTGATACGTATTGCAATATATCAGTGTTTGAAGGTGAGGTGAGGGAGGTTTATTGTACATGCAGAGCCTATTTTCTACATACTATAGTCCTAAAAACAAATGTTATGGTTGTGTTAAACACACATTTCGAATTTAGATTTGATTTTAGGGACTGAATTTTCTTTTATATAAAATTTGTTGCATCAAAAGTATGCTGTTTTATCAATTAATTGTAATGGAAAACATAAGTGCGAATGGAAGTGTAAAATTTAACTTAAGCAAAACAGATAATCACAAAATTTCATATATATTTATTATCCAATTCAGTTCTGAGGTCAGGTGAGGTGAGGTGAAATTGGGTTTTACGTCGTGCTTGAGAATATTTCGCTCATATGACGATGTGCATGCATGTGTATGTGTGGCTGCTTGTACTAGCCCAGACATAAGCTGGTTTTATAGTGCTAGCCCACCGAGATACCATACCGCAGTGAAGCATGCATACCCCACTCAGACACATTATACTGACTCCGAGCCGACCAGTCCTTGTTGTACCCATTAATGCCGAGCGCCAGGCAGGGACCAACAAGTACCATATTTTAACGTCTTTTGGTACAACGCGGTCGGGGATCGAATCCGCGACCTTCCGCTCTCTGGGCGGACGCTCTAACCACTACACCAAGGAGACAAAACCATTGCAATACATATTGTTTGAAAGGTGAACTGGTTGGTGTACTGGTAGTACTGTGAGGTCCTACTATTCAATGAGAGAAACAACTTGAGAGATGCACACCTTAGATGTTTACTGATTTGGTGAAACCTACAAGCATGGTGCGGTAAAATTTTAAAATGTAATTTGTCAAACAAGGATTTGAACCCATGATCATAGGTTCTGACATACTTAAGAGTACTGGCACAGCTAAGTGCAGTCCTCAGACAACTGGGCAAGCCATGAGTGAGTGAGTGAGTTTAGTTTTACGTCGCTGTTAGCAATATTCCAGGAATATCATGGCTGGGGACACCAGAAATTGGCTTCACACATTGTACCCACGTGGGGAATCGAACCCTGGCCTCGAGTTTTTACTCAAATTTGAGAAAATGTAATTCCCAGAATGAACTGAAATCAACATTAAACTAAAACATAGTAGACAATTTGAGTTTTGTGGATAGATTACTAACATTATTTGGGCTTTTGTATTTTCAAAATGTAATTGAGTTAAAAATTCAGCTGTTTCAAATTTTCAAACTCAGTTTGAAATTTGAGTAAAAACTAAGTTTGTTTTGAGAAATCGGGGCCTGGTGTTTGGCATGACGAGCAAACGCTGTAACCACTAGGCTACCCAACTGCCCCAGGCCAGCCTTGAAGGTTCAATTGAATACATAATGGGTGAAATGATGACCAACAAGCCCTTGGCATTTTCTTGCCATGTTTGTTCATTTGTTGATTAAGTTAATGTCCCACTCCTCAATATTACAGTTATATGACAACAGTCTGTACAATGTTGAGTCTGGACCAGACATTCCAGTGACTGTTGTTGTGGCCAACAAAATTGTCAAGTGAGACATTATTGAAACAAATACACTATCCAGGTAACGCAGCAAAGATGCCAACCTTAATTTAGCACAGTTAGTATTTTGGCAAAAAAACTGATGCAAGAATTATTATTTTTTGTCCAAAATTAGTATTAACTTTTACAAAGAATTTTCATATTGAATAAAAAATATATATATATAGTCTAAGACCTTGTTATTATCGTTGTACTCACCTAAATCAGTAGCAAGTATCCACATATAGCTTGATACTGAATAAAATGTGGTTGAAATTTATTGTGTATGGTATGTATGCTATTTGATAATTTAATTTAATGCATTATTTTAAAAAAATTGTATATTTTAGTGCTATCGTAGTCACGTATTCTGTGTTGTTTTTTCGTAATGAATACCATAAAATCGTATGGGTTGGCATCTCTGTGACACTGTTAAAACTCACAATTGTGCACTCGACCACGCTTCAACAGATGGGCTGTTAAAATAAGCTGAGTAAGTGTTGACCAATCTCAATTCATTCTGATGAATAAAAATAGGTTTAAACCAACAGATGGATTAAAGAGCATTAGAAAACATCCATTATTTTCTCACAAACTCTGCATTTACATAAACAAGGACAACATGGTTCCCACTGTAGCTAGGTATGGCTCCTATCACTTTTGTGTACACTGCACACACAGCAAGCAACCACCATACCCAGTATAAGAATGTAGTGGTGAGAAAAAAAAACACCCTCCTCGGAATACTTACAGAAATACATTGTCAAAGTTTGCATCTTTGTCACATATCCTGAGAACATGCTGCAGCATGACCGTCCCTGAAACACATTACGACATCTCCTGTATATAGATGGCCTCAAATAATGGAGAAGAAGGAGTTGGGTTTACCACCACTTGGAGTGAGTGAGCGAGTTTAGTTTTAAGCCGCACTCAGCAATATTCCAGCTATATAGCAGCGGTCTGTAAATAATGGAATCTGGACCAGACAATCCAGTGATCAACAGCATGCGCAAACGATCTGCGCAATTGGGAACCGATGACATGTGTCAACCAACTCAGCAAGTCTGACCACCCGATCTTATTAGTCGCCTCTTACGACAAGCATGGGTTACTGAAGATCAATATTCTAACCCGGACCTTCACGGGTCTAACACAACTTGGAACAGTGTTCAAGTTATATCATTGCTTGTAAGCTTAAAATGGAGGGATGTTCAAAATGATACATATCTCAGACATTTACCACTTTGGTGAAAGCCACCAACATAGGTATGGTGCTGACAACCTAGAGTGAGTGAGTTCGGTTTTATGCCGCTTCTAGCAATATTCCAGCAATATCACGGCCGGGGACACCAGAAATGGGCTTCACACATGGTATCCATGTGGGACGAGCGAACACTTTAACCACTAGGCTACCCCACCACCCCCTGACAACCTAGACACTAAGCAATATTCCAGCTATATGGCGGTGGGTTGTAAATCCAGTCTTGACCAAACCATCCAGTGATCAACAGCATGAGCATTGATCTAAGCAATTGGGATACAATGACATGTGTCAACCAAGTCAGCAAGCCTGACCATGCGATCTCGTTAGTGGTCTCTTACGACAAGCATGGGTTGCTGAACATCAATTCTAGCCCAGATCATCATGTATACCAGAATTCAAACCCACAATCATTGGTGTGTGTGTGTGTGTGTGTGTGTTCATGTGTGTGTGTGTGTGTGTGTGTAATTGAATGATTTGTGCACACTTCTAGAAGGATTAGAAGCCGGGGGATGATCTGATGTCCTTGACATATTTGAACATAATGTTGTTCATTTTTAATTTCAAATTAGTAACTGATTCTTGATGATGTTTGCTAGTTGTTTAACATGACACTCATTAATATTCCAGCTGAAAAACAGCAGCCTGTAAATAATCGAGACTAGACAGACAATGTTGATTCATATCCCGAATAATGATCAGCCTCTTTGGGGTACAAGAACATTCTGTGATCAACTTGTACTAATCTCCCATGATCCCATAGCCCACTACTATGTCTCAGTTTAGCTTAGATCACCACTCTGGCACAGAATACCGACTCCAAGGCGACCAGTCCTGGTTTTATCCCCTTCTGCCAGGCAAGGCAGGGTAACAATAAGTATCATCTTTTAGTGAGTGAGTGAGTTGGGTTTGTAAAACCTACGTTATTAAGCACAAACAGTGATACTTAAGTTGAAAACTTTTAATAAAACTTAAAACAAAAATATACATCCAGCCATAATATCGTGCTACAGATCAACTCAAAGTATTGTTATGTGAACCTATATAGCTATAAACCTCACAATGAAATGTATGAACCTCAAGTGACAGAAGTAACAGACAAAGCCGGAGTGATTATTTTTAGTTTCGTATCATATTTTTAGTTTTCGCATCACTGTGCTTATAACTACTGTTTCATGCCACTATTAGAATATTCCAGCAATATCAAGGGGACACCAGAAATGGGATTCACACATTGTACCCATGTGGGGAATTGAACATGTGACAAGCAAACACTTTAACCACCGGGCTGCCGCCCCACCATCTTTAAGCATCTGTATTAGACAGTCTGGGATCAAAACACCGACCTCTGTTCTCCAGGCAGACACTCCATCCACTTGGCCAAGGAGTCGATGTTCCCGAGAAGGAAAGACTTACCTATGCCCAGTCTCCTGTAAGCGCCAGACAGCCCAGGGTCATTATGTAAAGTCTTCGCTGGTTCTCGGACGTGTCGATCCGACAACACACTGCTCCTATAACTATGTCATTGTAATAGGCTGGAACAAAGAAAAATGCACTTTATGACTTACGCCAACTATAGGATACATGGCAGGGTTTAACCTTAATGCAGAAGAGTTCGTGCATGCAGTATGTACAAACGTAAAAAAAGGTCACAGAAAACATATACTGTAAATCACCAAAATTTGCGTCACAATGTTTTTGCGAGTACCGACCAACAGACGTTTTGATATTTTTCTCAAAACTAGATTGCAACTGATAGTTCTACCTACTGTAAATCCAATTACATATTAAAGGTGGCCGCTAATCTTGAACTGAGCTCAGTAGAGTACAGTCAGGCCGCGGTAATCCGGTCCTCGTTAATCCGAATACACCGACTTCCGAACGCTACTCACTGGGCACCAAATCATCTCCCTATATATTGTATATAATTGACACCTCGTTAGTCCGATGATTCAGTTTCCGCCTCCGAACGCTGGTCAGTCAGAACGGATTGGACGAAGTTGTAAACAGCTGCGTTAATCCGAACGATTGAAGTTAACCGCGCTGCTGACTGGTCCACCAAAAGTGACACGTTGTTTGTTTAGCGACTTAGCGACTCATCCCTTTGATCCCTTTATCATAAGTGATAGGGAAATTTCGATGACCACGCTGTTTTGGGAAAGACTTCAATAAAGAAATATATGCTCGGTACCGTTTCAACACGAATTAAAATGATAAACTATTATAAACCCAAATTATTTTACCCAAAACTTTCGTCTAAATCTAAAAGTTTTCGTTTACGAGGACGGTATCCATTGCCGTAATATGATTGGCTGCCTTAGGTCACATGTCTGATTTTGACCAATCACGACCCTTATAGCAGACTGTAGCGGAAAAAGCGTCATCAGAAACCAATTTTTATCCAATAAAATCGCTTCTTACAACTGTTAAAATACTCTCGGCAAGGGTTCAGTGATGTTGTTGATGTTCAGAGCTTTCGAACGATACCCGACATCAAACGATTCGCCTCCCATGTTATTCATACGATGCTTCGGAAACTGAGGTATTTTCCGTTGTTATGTCATGTTACCGAGCGGAAGGCCACAGATATCAGGAAATAGGCGACCATACATATTATTTAAGAAATCTCTTTATAATAATTTTCTGATGACGTAAAAATGAAAATATAAAAGAAAAAGGCACGGGCACGTTATGACATGTCACGAATGGAAAAAAAATCGCCATAGTTTTTGCTTCTTTAGTGGTTTATCTGGACGTTATAAATGTAAGCTTGCATTTTCATTCCAAAATAATTTTAGGATTAGATGTTTTAAATGGTGTATGGGATGTAGTAGCAATAACGTTTTACAAGCTTATAATTTCCTTCATAAACATAGGCAATTTCCTTCACAAACATAGGCTTCATCTATGACCTCAGAGTCTCGATAGTAAGGAAAGATATCAAGGGGAAGTAACTCGGTGCATATACTGTGGTTTCAGCAGTACGAACATTTCACTATCCGAACATTTTTTTTAAAAAACCAAAGTGTTCGTATTAACGAGGTCTGACTGTACTTCCGTGTGTATGCAGTCAGTGATGTTTTCCTAAAAACAACACATGTTGCACAGGCCAGACAAGCTTAAAACAGAGCAAAGGGATTACATTAATTGGAAAGCCTCCATTAAATTGTTGACAATGACATCACCAAAGCTGTTGATCTCCGTATAAGTGTGATGAAACCTATCCACACCCATTGGATGGTGTCGGCCTATCAAACTTTCTTTAAAGAAACAGAATGTGTGTTGAGTGGTTGGCGCCTGTGTGGACTGTCAGACGTACTGATTGAGTAACTTTTGTTCGAGTATCCCTTGTTTGACGTGTGTACTAGTAATGCTAGTCTTCCCCCAAGTGGTTGTCATTGCTTAATTGATGTATTGTCTCGATATGTTGCTGATTATACGAACTGGTGAATAATAAATTGGGTCATAATATTTTAGCGAGCTCAAGTCATCCGCAATTTTGGCAAAAATATCATGTTCGCAAAAAAATTGTGATTTACAGTATATTGTGTCCCATGGCATGCACAATATTCTTTTTATCAGATTCTTGACAGAAGTATATGGTTTGTGTGACTGAAATAATTACTTAATCATAGGTTATGTACCTTCAACCATTTCATTATGTTATAGGCATATTTCCTGCAAGCACCCTTGGAATCCACAACTGGGTTGGTTGATTTTTTGTTCTAACCCCCTATTTTCATGGGTTGATAACCGGGAGTCTCGACCCCAGCTTTTGTAGGGCAAGGTAAAACACTGCTTAGTATGCTGGTTATAAAAAAAATATATATTTAGACCATAAAATAACTTCAAATACTAGAATGTGATAGGAAAAGTAGAGATTTAAAATCATAATAACCGACACTATCAAAATTACTGACCTCACGACTGAATTTCTGTAGAAGATATTTTTAGACAAAGGCTTTACAAACATTTTCCAAAGGTATGCATTTAGATTTCAAATTAAAAAATGAAAGGTGTGCCCATTTTCTAACATTATTGAGACATGTGAGAGCATTAACACTATTACCAAGTTTTGCAAGTTCCCCCACTTCTAGGACATCCTTGTAGAACTTGTCATTGTAGGTGACGGGAAACACTACTTGGTTCAATCGTTTGAGCTGCTTGATGTTGTGTGGGGTTATGTCCCCTAGTTCAATGCGACCTCTGCAACAAATAGACACATATGTTAGTATCAACTATGTCAACACTTTTATCTAGTTGTAAAACGTTTCCAACTTCAAAAAAAGTTGGTATATTTTTATTGCCTGTCAATAGAGATCATAAAAATTGAGGATTGTTAACTACATGTTGGATTTTCACTAACCAGAGATGCAAATTTAAGCAAAGAGTTAAAAAATGTCCAGGTGCATGCTTTCTGTGTACGAGAAAGTGATATATTCCTGTACATAGGCAGCATCTTCAAACGTATTGCAATGTAGCCTGGTTTAGAGTGAGCGAGTATGGTTTAACACCCCTTTTAATAATATCATGGCAGGGGACACCAGAAATGTCCCATGTAGGGAATCGAACATAGACCACAGAAACGGCTTGACAAGGGAACGCTTCTTTACCACTGGGCTACCCCAACACTCCTAGCCAGGTTGACAACAACCTTCCACCCTCCCACCAGTCAACAACTAAAACGAATCACTGAAATTAGACTTAAAACGAATTTCACTGGGTAATTGACTGAATCCTAAAAAAGAAGTTCCATTTTCTCCTGCTGTTTGTGTATGACTTCAGGGTCAGTGCTAACAAACTCGGGACGTTTTCCTGGTTTGGATTTCGGGGTCGTACCCGTCCGAGCTCCACCTGTTCGTAACCGTTTCGAAATTTGACCTTCCATAGAAACAATGTAAATACGTGAACTGCCCTACATGGTGTAAATGATGTCAGTATTATCATGCTTTTTAATCGACATCAATACGATGGCGCATATCAATATGATACCCTCAACATGCCTCTTCCCAGTTCAACATGACTGATCAAGTCTAGATTTTCCGACATCACGTCATTAAATATTGGGAAAGGATGCCATTTGCTGAATGAAGGGTTAGAAAAACTGCCTTTCTGAACAAATAATATGCTTTACTGTATCCATTTCAAGATTTTAAAATACAACTTTGTCATGCTTGGACAGGAGGCCAGATTTCTTTAAAGTGAACGCCAATTCTCGTGCTCCTTCCCGCCGCACTACCGGAACTTCAGATAATCGACAACTCGCATGCGCTTCCGGAAATACTACATGTATGACAACAATATATTTATGAAAATCGCTGACAAACACTCAGTAGCAACAAAGTTTTGGGTGTGTTGTCATTTTGGGGCGTATTTTACACGTTACTCATTTGAAAAGTTTGATTTGAAAAAAGTCATTTAAAACGAGAAAAAAAGAGAAAATATCCATTGAACAAGGATTTTCAAATTGGCCAATTTCAGCAATACTCCAAATGTACCTGCTAATTTGTCAACTGATATGGAAGTACAACTCAACGTGTAGATTGTGTGCTTAATATATTTAGAAAAACCAACACACTGGTTCTGACAGACCGGACCAAGTATCATCATTGGCTTTCTCTGGGATTCGAACCTGGACCGTCGGACCTCGGTTAACCCTGACAGTCAAATGAGCCTTGTCAACTCGAACTCCACCAACCACTGAAAGTTAGTAATGTCTTCAGCTTGGCCATGTTGGCTAAGTTTGACTCGGGGATTTTGCTGTCGTTCGAATCCCAACCCAATCATGGGAAATGTTTAGGCGTACATACGAGTTTAAAATAGAGAAATTGTTGCACTTCTGCACGAGAGTATGTTTGTTTTCGGGGGTGGAGGTAGGAGGTTGGTGGGGGTTGGGGTTGCATGTGTGTGCGTGGCTGTATGTACGTGCGTGTGTGTGTGGCTGTGTCGCTGCTGCTGTATTAGACCGTGTAGGCATGTTTATTCTAGTCCGGACCTTATAACTGGCCCATAGATCTTCACCCGCATTTATCCCGGGTGGCCAACTACACTACGTCCGAGCTGACGAGGTTTTATTCCTCGAATGCCGACCAGTGAAGATCCGGGTAAGAATTGGCCTTCAGTAACCAATGCTTGTCGCAAGAGGCGACTAACGGGACCGGGTGGTCAGGCTCGCTGACTTGGTCATCATGGGTTGTAGTCAAAAGGGCCGAAGGACAAAAGGGCCGAAAAAAAGTCAAAAGGGCCGAAATGAAAAGTAAAAAAGGCCGAAAAATAAAAATTTGACTTTCACCGGCCCTTTTGACTTTTTGTCACGGCCCATTTGACTTGGCACTTCTCGGCCCTTTTGTCCTTCGGCCCATTTGACTAGATCCCATCATAACCTAGTTGCGTAGATCGATGCTCATTCTGTTGATCACTGGATTGTCTGGTCCAGACTGGATTATTTACAGACCGCCGCCATATAGCTGGAATATTGTTGAGTTAAACAACCAGCGTTCGCTCGTCACGCCGAAGACCCAGTTTCTACATGGGATATAATGTGTGAAACCCACTTCTGGTGTTCCCGACATGATATTGCTGGAATATTGCTAAAACCATACTCACTCACTCACTCGAATTCTTGCGGACTGTTATCTTATCTTCGCAGCAGAATGAAAGTTAAGGGAGCAACTCAGTTTCGGGAGAAAAGTTAGGAGATAAAGCACCGTGATTATATTAGTCCGGACTAATGCCCTTGTGTTAGTATCATAGTTCCAACCAACTGAGTCACATGACACAGTTTCACATGACACCTGTGTTCTCCATTTAATCCCATTTATTTAACAACAAAAAAATTTCATGCGTCGCGATTTGTGTCCATTAAATTCAGATCTACAAACGCTGAACTCGATTATATAGGCCTAAAATCCAATCTGTCCTAAATTTGAGTCTAACTACATCAACGTAAACCTATTATGTCTCCATATTTAGTAAGTGTCATGGTAAAGAGTGGTAACTAGATGCTTGTAATTGCAAAGACATAATCAACGTCCATCTGAGTACCGTATTCTCTATTGACAAATGTAATATGTTGTAAGGCATATACTATATGTCAAAATCGGCCTCTCTCGCGTCATTTCCCGGAATATTACGAGGGTCAAGATCACATGATTTAGGAACATCAACATGGTGAGTTGGTCTATCACGAGTGCCGGTTTTATTTTATGAATCTACTACTTATAGTTACTGAATTACTTCTGCTTTTCTTACTGTAGTGTAGTGTTTCCATTTCATATCAAGTGCTTTTACATAATCGCTTTTGAGAGAAAATTTGGTGAATATTTTCATACCGCATAGCCAAAATGTAACTTCCTCCTCTTTCTAATATTGATTGATTGATTGACCGCTGATTGGATTATTCTGAAGTGATCATCAATTATACCACGTCAGTGATGGTTTTAAGAAGTATAAGCCTAAAGACGATGCGTTTATCCACGCCACAGCTGTTACCAGCTTTAAAATATTCAGCTGAACGACATATGTGGAACAAATAAATACGTGTTTGTGGTTTGACGGTCACATTGCTATGACATGCAATAAGGGGATAAGGACTTTTGTGAAGGTCATGCTATTAACTAAGGATACTTCTGCTAATCATCTTAACGAACTATTTCATATGTTCACAATTAAAAACTGATAGAATTCGGAGTCTAGGATTCATTTTGAATTTGAGGTTGACTGACTGACTGACTGACTGAGTTTGGTTTTACACCGCTTTTAGCAATATTCCAGCAACATCACGGCGGGGGACACCAGAAATGGGCTTCACACATTGTACCCATGTGGGGATTCGAACCCGGGTCTTCGGCGTGACGAGCCAACGCTTTAACCATTAGGCTACCCCACCGCCCCAATTTGAGGTTGAATCGCATTTAGGTTAAGATGTTGAAACTCCTCAGAATTTTCTCAATATTTATTATAGATAATGTTTGTTTTTTGTATATTAAATATTATAAACACTGATTTAATCTATGGATTACAATCAAACATGATGGGTGAATATCATGGTAATTTATACTCATCCAATATGGACATGTTTTGTCGTACTAAGATATATACATCAACTAGTTGTATTCTAGATGAAAATAACTGCAGATTATATAAATATGTATCAATATTATCCACATGTAGACGTTAAATTATCAGTGGAAATTTATTCAACAAGACCTTGTTAATCTGAAGCGTTGGCTCGTCACGTCGAAGACCCGGGTTCGAATCCCCACATGGGTACAATGTGTGAAGCCCATTTCTGGTGTCCCCCGCCGTGATGTTGCTGGAGTAATGCTAAAAGCGGCGTAAAACCAAACTCAGTCAGTCAGTTAATCTGAAAACCTCAGGAAGCAACTTGAACTCATCGAAATGAAAGATGTTTGGAAACTATTTATAACAGAAATATTCTGCTTATACAGATGAATTAAAAAACACTATATTGCCAAAAGAACCCCATAGAATCTCATACATTTGGGATTTAGATATTTGACAAGGTTGAGTAACAGGAGATGTATGTCCTGGATCCTGTCTTACTGAAGGTCACACAGGTGTATTCAAACAGCCTCTCACATCCTGGTGGAGTTACTCCATATGAGTGTTTCTCTATGCCCCACCCAGCCCTTATTTTTATATATTTGAAGTACATGCACAGATTTTATCAAGGACGGATCAGAGATCAATATTCCGCCCCAAGACTGAAGTAAAAGTCAGTTATTGAAGTACAATGTACATACCCAGATTTCGTATCAGAGATCAACATTTGTCCCAAGTATGAAGTAAAATATCAGTAGAAATCCTTAAATCAGAATTAAAAACTGTAATATAGAATTCAATTAAGAAAGTCTTGTAATTAGCAGAGTTGAGTTGCATTTCACCGACATAACCAATGGAACAGGCTTGAGTTTTTATTTTTAAATTGAATCCTTAACACTATTAAAATTTTCAAATTTGCCTCCCAAGGAAAATTCATTTGGAATCCTGGTAATACATCGTTAGGCATGCCCAATTTGAGACTTTAATTTCATTAGTTCCTGAAGTGATTCTTTATCATATTTATTTGCTCAATTGTTACTTTTGTTTGGGACAACATAGTCTTTTGAATTTAAATTTGGGGTAGTGGGTTTGTTAAAATGTACTGAACCACAAGTGATGCAAGGTGTTCATGATGAGAGGCTTAGTTTAAAATAAATATGGCGTCCTGAAGTGTCAGCTCTGAGAGATTTGACTGGGTTGTATATTTTAACTGATTAATTTCAAGTGATACCAAATAATGAAATGGCAGCATATTCCTAAACATCCTTACAGATTGTCTGTGTCTGGGAAATCCTTGTATATGAGACTGCAAATTATTATAGGAATCTGAATCCATATAACTCCTTGATTTCAAACTGTCTGTGAATGCATGGAGTCCACCCCTGAAGGCTGAACGTGCTGTTTGTTTCTCCAGGACTGATGCATTGTTACTGAGTTGTACAAAGAGCTGGTCGGTACACTCACCTCACATAATCCCTGTGTACAATATGAGTGTAGCCATTGTGATACGGCATTGTATAGTGTGTTTTTAAGCTGAAGTCAGCAATATTACAGCTCAGGGTCTCAATCTATAAAGCGTTCGAAGTAGTGTTGGGAATCGGAAACCAAATCCACTATAGATTATCGGAGGACTTGTGGTGAACGATTATCGATTATAATCGAAATATATACGTTTTAAATGTAATTACCAATTATAAGGGTTTTCCCCCAGGTTTTTTCTAATTAATGATTTTAATAACTAATACTGTCATGCAATGAAATGCACGCATGCAAGTAAGACACTGGAATTGTAATTCAACAATAAAAGTGGTTAAAATTCTACAATGCGCATAGCTTTACGCTGTTGAGCGCATGTTTGTTCGTGAATATTCATCAAATTAAATGGTCAGTATACTTAATTCAAGGGTGTTATACAACAACAACAAAATTCCGATTAATCAAAAATATTATGAAGAGGGATTTACCTTGAGTACTGTATTTGAGAGTCCCTGGGACTCATACTCTTAATTTTCAGGGGTCCTGGACTACAAAATGGGGGTCCCAGACACTTAAATGTTATTATAATACTATTTTGTAATATTGTTGTAATTCAGTTTTTGATTATCATGATCACATTGTTACAGTAATAAATTTAAACTGCAAATGATGCTTTAAACCGGCTTGTAGCAGACTCAGTGATAACTTATTGTTACTTGATTGAAATATTTACAAAAATTATTTGGAATTTTTCTGCATCCCTGTGGACGCACTAATAAATTTTATGCGTATAGGACGCAGGAATTCGCGTCGTGTAAATCCCTGTGAATACTTTGTAGGTCAGGACCCTGATTTGGGAAATGTGACTTGCCACTAAATTATGTTTGTTAAAGTTAATACACATACCTGATGTCACCATGGATGCAGAAATTTGAAACAAGACCCTCCCAGTGACCCTCAAAATCAGATAAGACTATTTCTGTATCTTTCTTTTGACAAGTAAAAAATCTCTAGAAGCTAAATTGAAACATCTGTGCATCAAAGGTTCATGTATTATGGATTTGAAATATGTCATTTAATCTGAAAACAGAAAATTATTCAGTAATGAATAGTCAATATTTTCAAGTCAAACGATAAATACAAAATGCTTTAACTGTTTCAAATGAAGTGTATCTAATCCAAACAGGAAATATGTGTGTTAAGCTGAATCCACTATTATCCAGCAAGGAAATTTCTTTAAATACATATGTACTCCCTAAGAAGGACAATGTAGGCAAGAATCACAGGCTGTGGTTTAAGCACAGCTCTCTAGCCGTGTCTGGATGTACTTAACTAGCTCTGTGTCAATACATACTTTATCTGCCTAGCAGCACAAGCCATCACCGAGGCTCAAAACTAGAAGGTGACTTTGACAAGAAAACTCTCATGAGTGTAGATATGACCATGCTGTAGTTGAAAAATAAACATTGATAGGGAGTGGTTATCTAGCTAGGGTTTGAGGAGAAGCGATAGAACATAGGTCACTGTCCGTCTTCTGATGCAGAGTGTAGCCTCGACTTTTATTTGTATGGGAGAAAGTCTCCTTTTTGTCATAATGTAAAATTTGTGAACAGGGTTTTGTGATTTTTGCAAATTTTTAAGGTTTTATGTTTCTTTTATTTTTTGTCAATAAAACTTTAAATATAAACCAGAGGAATGTATTTGTTTTTTTCAGAGTCTATCCTGGATTTTTGTCTGTTTGGGAAAAAGTCTCTTTTTTGTCAGAATGAATAAGATTTGTAAATTTTACAATTTTACTTTATTTTGACTCAAAATGAGTCATATACAAGAGCAGTTAGTATGAGTCAGGATAAGTATAAACTTCATAAATGATATTTTCATTGAAAAAACACAGATAATTAGCCCAGCGTCAACCAATCATGGTTTGCCTTATTTCAGTGCTCGAAACTGCTCGAGTTGGAGTCAAAATTATGTTCTCGCTGTGTGGAAATAAGTTAAATAGATATTCAAATATTGAATCGAAATAGTAATAATGGTTGTTGAAATTTGAAAATAAGGTGTCAGATTCGATTTTCAATGAATCGAAACAAATTGTTGCAGCCCTACTAAATACTAAGGCTGTAACGATTCACTCGCATATTCGGTGAATCGAACCGTAACCCTTCATGAATTCAATTCGTTATTCGTGGTCACCAGAACCGAATTTTAACGAATATTTACATTGTTTTAAGGGAGCATGTTTTACTTGAACCCTTATGTCTTTTCCAAAGTGAGATATGCAAGAATGGAACATGTACTAGCATTGCAGTAGTGCACGTCATGTTAGTTAGCCAAGATTGCACATGGTACTGTCGATTATAACTATTACATACCAAATTTGAGTGTCATGAGATCACTGGTTATTGCTGTGACAAATTAACACTGTCAACATGTCCGTTCCATACTGTACATCAATCACTTAACTACAATATTGTATTCGTGAATAATTATTCGTATTCGTTATCCAATATTCATGATACGCATCATATTCGCCACATAGTGTAATCATTGCAGCCCTACTAAATACAATACTGTATGTGAAGCAGTTGGTCAGTAACTCGAACTGTCCGATTATATGTATGGTCACTACTTGAGTAACAGCCATCTGGATGTGTCTCATTAATATTCATGCTGAAATAATGAATGTCAGAATAGCCACAGAAAATCATTTAAAACTTGCATTGTGACAGTGAGTGAGTGAGTGAGTTTAGTTTTACGCCGCACTCAGCAATATTCCAGCTATATGGCGGCGGTCTGTAAATAATCGAGTCTGGACCAGACAATCCAGTGATCAACAGCATGAGCATCGATCTGCGCAATTGGGAACCGATGACATTTGTCAACCAAGTCAGCGAGCCTGACCACCCGATCCCGTTAGTCGCCTCTTACGACAAGATAGTCGCCTTGTTATGGCAAGCACATGGGTTGCTGAAGACCTATTCTACCCCGGATCTTCACGGGTCGCACTATATGAGCAGAGTTTAGGATTTGAAATTGAAGAGGGATAGAAATACATTTAGTTTCATGATAGGGGCGGTAGGGTAGCCTAGTGGTTAAAGCGTTCGCTCGTCACGCCGAAGACCTGGATGAGTATACATTACCATGATATTCACCCATCATGTTTGATTGTAATCCATAGATTAAATCAGTGTTTATAATATTTAATATACAAAAAACAAACATTATCTATAATAAATATTGAGAAAATTCTGAGGAGTTTCAACATCTTAACCTAAATGCGATTCAACCTCAAATTGGGGCGGTGGGGTAGCCTAATGGTTAAAGCGTTGGCTCGCCACGCCAAAGAACCGGGTTCGATTCCTCACTTAGGTACAATGTGTGAAGCCCATTTCTGGTGTCCCCCGCCGTGATATTGTCAGAATATTGCTAAAAGCGGCGTAAAACTAAACTCACTCACTCACTCACTAGTTTCATGATGAGCAGTAAACAAAATACAAATTACTATAATTATTGGCTGCTGTTGGCATAATGATGAAATAACGGTCAGCCGCCTCACCCTCTCAGCCACCGCGACTTGTGGTCGGTCACTCACTCACTCACTCACTCACTCACTCACTCACTCACTCACTCACTCACTCACTCACTCACTCACTCACTCACATACTCACTCACATACTCACTCACTCACTCACTCAGTAAAGGAATTTTGAAAACGGTATTTTTGCCCTCACTGTGTCCTGATGGTATTGGTGTTTGACATGCAAACTGTCCATTGAGCCACACAACAGTATTGCCTGCTATGCGAACAATTGTAACATGCTTTGACCTTGAAACCCCTGGAGCCTGTGTTAAGCAGTGTATTTACTAACTGTTTGTCAGCACAAACAGCTTCAAAATGTTCATGTTCCTTCCAAGAAACTTATCTCATTATTGTCCCCCGCCGCAATGCGGAACGAAAGAATGAAAGAATGAATGAATACAATTTAAAAAAATTGTATCCCTGATGATAAAGTTGAAACGCGTAGGAGAGAAATTCCTATTGTGTGTATACATATATTTATTGCCTGCTCTCTTGTAATAAGTTCCTTTCTGTGTGTATTTCCAGGCAGGAGGAATGGACAGAGCACGGCGTATGCCGAAGATCGGGGACAACGAGAAGGAGTCCATGTTTGGATATGTTTACGCTGTATCCGGCCCTGGTAAGTGGAGAAGGAAAATGGATCAACTTTGATATTAGTGTTGGGAATTGGTTAAAATCTCATAATTGATGATTGGTTCATAACAACCGATCAATCAACGAAAATAATTGGTTTGCGTCATTTATCAAATGTTCCTGTTATCTTTGTTAATGCACACACACAAAATAAAGAAAAAACATGTAGTAATTTGCAATTGGGTCTTTTGCAAATTGCACAAAATCCATTGGCAAATTTCGCATATTTAAAGGATGATTAGTATGTTAGGAACACAGATTTCCTGGGTTCTTTAAGATAAATTCAATCATGACTTGGAACAAGCTTGTAGTGCTTATGAAATGTAAACCAACCATGTGTAAAATATTGTTGATGCAAACAAGTGTTCCAAAATTGGTTGTGTTCAATTATGAGAAAACACAATCGATTGCTTGGTCGTTTAGGCACTGCGACCAATATTCGATTATTTCAATTAATTGGACCACCACTATTTGATATAGACAATACGAAATAGCCATTGTTTAGAAAATCCTTACATTATTTAATTTGCATGGAAATTTGGAACTAGGTGAATACTTGGGATCATTGAGCATGTTGAGGTCTTATATTATGTTGTATGATTATCTAGGGATCTCCTCTTTTACTTTTTACTAATGAAGACAGGGCCATGGTTTAGTCTAGTGGTTAAAGCGTTCACTCGTCACGCCCAAGACCCAGATTCGATTCCCCATGTGGGTACAATGTGTGGATCCAATTTCTGGTGTCCCCCGCCGTGATATTGCTGGAATATTGCTAAAAGTGGCATAAAACCATACTCACTCACTCACTACAAATGAAGACTGCTTGACTTTCATGAGGTATATTGATAATATTATGATTGATATTTGTTCATTTGCGTTCTTTATTTGGAACACTGGGGTAGCCTGGTGGTTAAAGTGTTCGCTCATCAACTGAAGACCCGGGTTCGATTCTCCACATGTGTACAATGTGTGAAGCCCATTTCTGGTGTCCCTTGCCGTGACATTGCTGGAATATTGCTAAAAGCGGCATAAAACCTGACTCGCTATGTGGAATATTGTATATAAATGTTGTGAATTTATTGATAACCATGGTAACATGTTTCAGTGGTGACGGCGCAGCAGATGTCGGGGCGCGGCTATGTACGAGCTGGTACGTGTGGGTCACGCCGAGCTGGTGGGAGAGATCATCAGGCTGGAGGGCGACATGGCCACCATCCAGGTCTACGAAGACACCTGTATCCTTGCACTGGAGCTGCTCATGCTGTTGATCACTGGATTGCCTGGTCCAGACTCATTTATTTACAGACCACCGCAATATAGCTTGAATATTGCTTAGTGCGGCGTAAAACTAAACTCACCCACTCCACCTGAGCCTACTTATTAGAGCCTAGTCCAGACTGTTTTTGCCCAATACAATCTCAAAGTAAAATCATATTTAATTGCTTCATGGGTACAAACAGTGTGTCTTTGTTCTCATCTACATGCAATCAAAGTTTAATCATCTTTATCCCATTTTACAAAAAGGCCACTGAAAAGTATGAAATTGAGCATGATTTTTTTTTTCACATGATAAGAATACAAATTGTATTAGGCAAGCTTTTGGCAAGTGTATAACATATTTTTTATTCTCCATCTTTGATTTATATTTTTATTTATAATAGTTTTGATACGGAAACATACCAGGGTAATAATCACTTTATGATATAATAAACACAGGGATAAGGTGTGGTAATAAATTGTATCTTTGTCAAAAAGATGAGGCAGTGCAAAATACAGAAATCTGTCATCTGTGCTCTTGTCTAAAATCTGTGCCAGAACTACAACTGCTTAATACTAGTAGGGGTGAAACGGTACGCTCTTACCATGGTACGGTACGTATTGCAGTACAAGGCCTTTCGTTCGGTCCGTTTCGGTTCGGTATATGAGATATGATCATAATGCAAAAAATGGACAAAAAGAGCTAAACCTTACATTGCTTAATGACACAGAAATAATAATCATAATCTGTGCCTTTAAATGAGCAAAACTGTCATGTCCTGACTAGATAGAAGACGTAAAGTATCACTGGAACCTTTGAGCTCACAGCTGTGTGACAAAATAGCAATTAGCCAAGTATGATTAAAATTCACTAACATCACATCAACATTTACTGCAATGAAATCACCACTATATTCCAGAAATGTTCATGTTTTAGAAACATATACACAAATAAGATGTTGTCGAATGTGAGTCTGTTGATGACATATCACAGATAAAGAAATTAAAGAAATTAACACAATACAGTTGTCATAAGATAGTTACTGTCTGTATGACTGATCATTGTCATTGTTCTAAATCATTGTCTTTCTCTCGTTTCAGTATGTTAAACATTTAGAGACTGTCCACAGTCCTTGGGAAGTACTGATACACAATCTTGGCACATTCCAGAGTCATGTTTTATTCAATTTTCAGATTCAATCAAAATATCTTTCAAAGTTCATTCAAAAATATAATTTTCCTTTTTTGAAACAAATATGTTTTGGCTCCTTTCTCTCTTTATTGGTTGTTAAATGTTCGTTGTGCTGATAGTGGTTGTGATGAGATCAGCTCAGATCTTTCTGTTGTGGTAGCAACAAATAACAAACAAAAGGCTGTGATGGGAAAGCCACGAGATCCATACCCATAATTGCAGTCATCCCTCGCCTCCCTTGTTATACATAACACAGAATAAAGGCCAAGTAAAATCGTATTTTCCATGGACATAACAGAACTGCTATTTCGTGTATTGTGCCCAGTCAAAACTATATCGTATCGAGGTGAAGAAACAAACTTTGCAAATGAAAATTTGAATAGGAAACCTGCAATCAAACATCACAGCACATGATAATTCAGTTTTCCTTCCCATTATGCTACCTGTTATTTATCTAAGCCGGAAATAGCAATCAGCTGTGTACAAATGTTTTGCTCCAATCTACCAGGTGATTCAGTTAAAAACGAACTGAAAATATGAAATCAAAGAATTTATTCAAATACCAGAATAATTTAAATATCTCAAGCAGTTATTTTAATAGAGATAATACTTATTGCTATCGTGTTAGCATTATGCATGTTTTCTACGAACATATTTAAAATAATAATTAACATAGGCTCAGCACTTATGTGGCTGGAAACATTTTACGTATGAGACAGTTTAACAATTCTCTGTTGACTTCCTGTGGAGCATGCCACTTTGTGAAAACAAAATGTTGGCAATTAATTGTGAAACATGACTTCAGTGAGTCAATAACGCGGGTCTAGGGGTATATGGATGACGGGGCGGTAATCAGTTCGTGATTACTGACAATAATGTGAAATTAGTGCTATCGCTGCAGGCATGGAAAAGCGGACCCTCATGAACATGGTAAGCGGAAGTGGTATGCGTATAGAATGAGGTGATGCCATTTCACACGCGTTTTCTCCGATGTTACTGTAAACAGTGTTTTTTCTGAATGGAAATGGGATTAAATTTAATCAAATTAGATGAGATCAAAGGAGATAGTTTTATTATGAGTTTTTACATCATACGTTTTCGGATGGCATGTTTACTCGCTATATAACGCGGTGTGTTGCATCAGAGCAAACATGGTGAGTACTCGGCTGATGGTATGTCTTTATGATAAAGTTGTCTTTTATAAGTTATTACGATGTTCGTCTGATTTGAAATAACTGAAAAAGGAACAGAACCCAGCTACTGATCTGGTATCTGCATTTGCTGTCTTGCTGACTTTGTAAGTAGACGACTTGAGGCGATCTCGAACTTACTTCCAAGAAAATAGCGGCCGTCCAGCAAAGAAATGCATAGATTTTTATGAAATGATTCGATTTCATGACGTTTTAGAAAAGGTTTAAAAAGGTGAATAAAATCACGGTACGAAAACTGAAAATACCGAATTTTGGGATTGCATTATGGTATACCGAACCGAAGGCAAAATACCGCGGTTCATCTAATACCGCGGTATACCGTTTCACCCCTAAATACTAGAGCAACGTCTAGAGCTGATGCATCGAGGCCATAGCATGTGAAACATGTTATTGTTTCTGTGACGTGATCTCTGTGTTGATTGGTCTGAGCTCTTACTAGGTTCCATCTGGAACAAGGCTGTCTTGAATTGTTATAAAAATCTAACCGCTCCCAAACAATTTGTATGTATTCATAAGTCATGGAGGAATGGAGTGCATGCAGGACCTGTCACCTGCTGACGAAGACGTGCAGCAGGGGTTTACAGGACACATATTCCTGCGTCTTGTATGCATAAAAATGGACAATGGACGCAACAAATTTTATTAGCGCGTCCTAAGGGACGCAGAAAAAGTCCTAATACTTTTTTGTAAAAATTTCGATCAAGTAACAAGAAGTTATCACTGAGTCTGCTACTAGCCGGGTTATGGTATCATTTGCAATTTAATTACTGTGATGATCATGATACACAATGCAATAACAGTAAATGAATTACAACAATATTACTACATAGTATTAATAATAATATTTAAGTGTCTGGGACCCCCATGTTGTAGTCCAGGACCCCTGAAAATTAAGAGTATGAGTCCCAGGGACCCTCAAACATAGGACTCAATGTAAATCCCTGCGTGCAGGTATAACTTGGTGTTGTTACCTCCTTGACCAACCCAGCTGGTGTGACTGTGGGTGACCCTGTACTGAGAACAGGAAAACCTCTCTCCGTCGAGCTTGGACCAGGAATTATGGGTAGCATCTTTGATGGTAAGATTGTGTGTGTGCATCTCTTGTTTCTTAGGGACCATTTGTAATTTATGGCTAGGGCGAGGGGTGATGATGATTTTTATGGAGAAGCATGTACAGTGTGAAATCCCTTCCCCCTCCTCCCCCAATAATTATGTACAAAGTAAGTAACCCCCTGTTTTGTACAAAATCAATGACGGACGCGACGACAAACACACCCACGCACACACACACACGCACACGCACACACACACGCACGCAACACACACACAACACACACACACAACACACACACACGTTATGTACAAAATCAGTGATGAAACACACCCCACCCAGTACATGTGTACAAACTTGATAATCCCCCACCTCCCCAGAACAATGTGGGTGACCCCCATTAAAATCATCATCACCCCCTCTATCCATAAATTATGAAAGGTCACTAAGTATGGTGATCTACTTCTACCTTCAGTTGTTGGCGATCTATAGCCTGTTATATATAGTAATTTTTGGTCTATAGTTTTACATTTATGTGCTAGTTGTACATCTGGGCCCCGGTTCACAAAGCTCTCGTAAGCCTAAGATCTTGAAACGAATGCTACGGGAAAAGTTACAAGATCTTAGGCTTACGAGAGCTTTGTAAAACGGGGCCCTGTATCTGTGATGTTCTGGTTATTTTGACTCTAGTTTGTCAACAGATTTGTATCTTCTGTGTTTATGTGTCATGAATGTATAACTTTTCACTATATGGCAGAAATACTGCTGATGTGGACATTAACTCACTCATTGTGTTAAACCCTGTTGTGTTATTGCACAAATATTTTTTGACCCGTGTCCAATAACATTCTCTTGTTAACTAATTCATTCACTCAAACTCAAAATCATGTCAAAACTGATGTGATATTGATGGAAAAATGCCTTTTAAACCTGGTGGGATATCGCTGAAATATTGTGACAGGCATCCTCGCTGTTACTCAGTGTTGAGGAGCAGTGTGGTGGCCCAATGGTTAAAGCGTTCGCTCATCATGCCAAAGACCCAGGTTTGATTCCCTACAGAGGAACAATGTACGTGTGAAGCCCTTTTCTGGTGTCCCCTACAATGATATTGCTGGAATATTGCTAAAAGAGGCGTAAAACCCAATTCTCTCGCTGACTCACTCACTCACTCACTACTCAGTATTGTGTTAAAACCTGGTGTGATATCGCTGATAGATTGTGACTGGTGTCAGATATCATTCACTCAAAGTGACGTCAATACTGATGTGATATTGGTGGAATATTGCTAGCAGAGGCGTTAAACCATCCTCACTCACCCACTGTGTGCAGGTATCCAGCGTCCACTGGAAGACATCTCCGAGCTGACACAAAGTATCTACATCCCCAAGGGAGTCAACACGCCAGCCCTGGACCGATCCAAGAAGTGGGACTTCGAGCCCCTCAACATCAGGGTGAATAGAATTTTTTTTTCTTTTGATGTTCTTTTACTCAATTTCTTCTCTACATACACGCATTCTGATTGGCCAGGGGAATATTTCTCCGGGACATGGCTATGAGAGGTGTACGAGTCTTCTTTTGGGTTACGGGAGAGGGACGAGTAGTTACGAATGCTGTCTTTCAGTGTATATCATATTGACCTATACCATGGGAGGTAACTGTGTTACTCAGTGAAAGATTATCTCGCCTGCTATCACACATAGCTGTCAGTTTTGAAATATGCACCATGATTGATCTTATTTAGTACTACATAATGTTTAGAAAATATGAGTAATATTATTTTTAAAAGAAAATGAGACATTAAGTTTTAAGTACTTTTATTATATAGGTATTTGTGTCGAGAACCTCCAAAGTGTGATAAATTTTATCTTGTTCACAGACAGAATTAAAGCCAGCTGATGCTTTATAAACATATATTTGTAGCTGTGTTCATTTTTCATTTGACTGATGTGTGATTGGCATGATATTGTCTACAGACCATGCTTGTGAAATAATTGCATATTTCATTCTTCATCAGATCGGGAGTCACGTGACAGGTGGTGACATCTACGGTGTGGTGTATGAAAACATCCTCATCAAGCACAAGATCATGGTTCCTCCGAAGGCGAAAGGAACCGTCACGTTCATCGCTGAGCCAGGATCATACGATGTCAATGTGAGTTGATGTGTTTTCATGTTCACAGTGGGCTATGCATGGACAGTGCCTTCAAGATACAGTGTTCATCCCAGCATTGTTCATTGATACAATCTACGATCCCAAAACAGTGTTTAAAATTAATATGAATTTGGTCCTTTTCCTAACCCTGATGTTAAAAGTTATAGACTCGGGATTTCATTGAGTCCAGACAAACCTCAGTGGTCCAGCTCATAGAGAGCACCCTTGTTTGATATGCCAAGTTGCATCCCTGATTTTTTCGGATAAGATCAATAAAAAAAAAGGACCAATGTTCTGACAGATCACACCCATAATCTTTATCAAAACCCTTATATTAATAATAGTTTAAATAACCCAATTGTTTTATACTGATAGTATACTTCATGATAGTAGCTATCACTGTTTTGACAAAATCTCTTATTGGAATTTTCCTTTAAAGCGGACTCATACTGGTCGGCCCTTTGAATCGATATGCAGAATTCGACCGAGTCGTATCGGCTGAGTGATTAATTTAATTAAACAAAACGGTACAAATCGGCCACTCAAACCCATATCAATCGTGTAGAGCCTGCTCAAGTTATTCGGCAAGTTGGCTGTGGCCAGCCAATCAAATTGAGTTTTGACGTCACGTGGTAAATGTTTACAGGCTTCGTCTGCTTCTAAAAAACTATGCCTCGACTTTTCACGACTGTTTATCTTCAATTTCAAGTTCTTTAATAAGATGGTTGTATGCTCCGTGCATGTCGTGACGGAGAATCCAATCTTTCGTCCAACAACTTCTCTTTTTCTTCACTTTGGCATTGACGTCTTCTTCACAAAGTATCGCACAGCAGATAACTGCTGCTAGGTCTGCCTCAGACATTTTGATACCATGGAAACAAAATACCGCAAGATATTATGAGATCAACACTAATATCGGCACATTGAATTGTGTGAGAGGTAGCAAATCGATCAGTCGATATTCGTTACAACCACCAAACATGTTGTACCATGAATGGAAATCGGCAGGTCGTGACGATATGCCGACCCATATGAGTCCTGCTGAAGACAGCTGAATAACATATGTGTAATCTCCCCTTGCAGGAAGTGATTCTGGAGACAGAGTTTGACGGCGAGCGCACCAAACACACAATGTTACAGGTGTGGCCTGTGCGTCAGATGCGACCGTCTGCTGACAAGCTGGCTGCCAACTACCCACTGTTGACTGGACAGAGAGTTCTCGACTCACTCTTCCCGTAGGTCACATAATAACCTCACATTTCAGTCTTAAATATGGTGCTCACAGTCATAGTCATTCCTTGGCTCACAAAGAGATTAGGGACCCGTGAAGATCCGGGGTAGAATAGGTCTTCAGCAACCCATGCTTGCCACAAAAGGCGACTGCTTGTCGTAAAAGGCGGCTAAAGGGGTCGGGTGGTCAGGCTCGCTGACTTGGTTGACACATGTCATCGGTTCCCAATTGAGCAGATCGATGGTCATGCTGTTGATCACTGGATTGTCTGGTCCAGACTCGATTATTTACAGACCGCCGCCATATAGCTGGAATATTGCAGAGTGCGGCGTTAAACTAAACTCACTCACTCACTCACAAAGAGATTAGGCCTCCAGCAAAATTAGTGGCATACATGAGACCAAGTTCAGTTTCACTGGACTCAGATGCTCATAAGGGTTAGACTCTGAACTGGAAGCATACACAGTCACATGATAACCCCCCTGTCAGACTAACATATGGTACTGTTTGTAGTCATACCAAGCCAACCCTTGGATTATAAGGGACCGTTCAAAATTTATGGCAAAGGGGGTGTGTGATGATGATTTTCAAGGAAAGGCATGTACAATGAGAATGGAACAACCCCCACCCCCAAAAAACAACAACAACAAAACCCCAACAACCACCCAAAAAATGTATGTACAAAGTAAGTGTACAAAATCAATGACCCCCAACCCCTCCCCGTAATTTATAATCATATTTTTGTCTACAAAATTGATGGGAAACACACACACACACACACACACACACACACACACACACACACACACACACACACACACACACACACACACACACACACACACACACACACACACACACACACACACACACACACACACACACACACACACACACACACACACACACACACACCACCATTAAAATCCACCCATCATCACACACCACCCCACACCCCACCCAGCCATAAATTATGAACAGTCCTTAATAAGATTATGTCTCCAGCAAAATCCTTTTGTCTCCAAGACTGTCCGCAGTCATACTTATTTCTACCTTGGCTTATGTGAAGATTCTTTTCCAGGAAAACCTTTGTCTGCAAAAACATATCTTTTTTTCTTATATTATATATTTTCAGTATGTTTTGCTGTTGATGTATGGACTATTATTAGCAGTGGTCATGTGACCGGGTTAAGTTTCACTGAAATTCAGGTGCTAATTTGTGTCTGAAGTTGCCGACTGGACGAGGATCTGTTTTCTGTACATGCAGTACATAAGACATGTGTGAACTGGGTTTGTTGGTGTGTTTCCCAGATGTGTGCAGGGAGGAACCACAGCTATCCCCGGCGCCTTTGGTTGAGGCAAGACTGTCATCTCCCAGTCGCTGTCCAAGTACTCCAACAGTGACGTCATCGTCTACGTCGGATGTGGGGAGAGAGGAAACGAGATGTCAGAAGTACTCAGGGACTTCCCACAGGTAATGTCCTCATTGTGAAATATCATAAAGCTGGAATATTGATGCGTTAAACAACAAAATCATTGTTAAAATACATATAGCTGGAATATTGCTGTGTTAAAACAACAAAATCATTGTGAAAATACATATAGCTGGAATATTGCTGTGTTAAAACAACAAAATCATTGTGAAAATACATATAGCTGGAATATTGCTGTGTTAAAACAACAAAATCATTGTGAAAAAATCTGATTATAGAATTTTTGCAGTTTAATGTTGTAGATAATATGCCTGATACAATTGAAAGATTGAACTCTCCTGTGTGGTATGATTTTCATGGCCAAATGTCAAGGTCAAAGGTTAATCTGTCAAGTTAAATGTCAAGGTCATACTTTAGGTCATGTGACAGTAAGAGGCAAGGACAGGCGCGTAGCAAGTAAATTATTTCATGTAAGCCCAATAGATTGGAAAGCTTTATGTTCAGGTAGTATTGTGGCCTTTTTAGCAACAATCATGTGTAAGCCCGGGCTTTTTTAAAACATGGTAGCTAAGCCCCTGAAGGTGTGTTGATAGGTGCGATGTGTTTGGAGTGAGAGATGTGGTAGTATGAGTTGAGTACAGTATGATGATTGGTGCGATGTTGTTGCAGCTGACCATGGAGGTTGAGGGCAAGCCGGAGAGCATCATGAAGAGAACCGCCCTTGTGGCTAACACCTCCAACATGCCTGTAGCTGCCAGAGAGGCCTCCATCTACACAGGTGAGTGCAGCAGCCAGTCAGTGTATTACCAGCCGTGGGGAAACTTTGGCCAGTCCCACTGTCACCCCCACAGTACATCACATCATCCCCAGGGTACATTCTCTCACCCCCACAGTACATCACATCACCCCCAGGGGTACACTCTCACACCCCACCCACATCCCTGGGTACATCACATCATCCCCCAGGGTACACTCTCTCACCCCACAGTACATCACATCATCCCGAGGGTACACTCTCTCACCCCACAGTACATCACATCATCATCCCAGGGTACACTCTCTCACCCCTACAGTACATCACATCATTCTCTACCAACCCTACAGTACATCCACATCATCCCCAGGGTACACTCTCTCACCCCCACAGTACATCACATCATCCCAGGGTACACTCTCACCCCACTACTCACAACCCTACATTGTACATCACAGTACATCACATCATCCCCGGATACACTCTCACCCCCACAGTACATCCACATCATCCCAGGGTACACTCTCTCACCCCTACAGTACATCACATCATCCCCCGGTACACTCTCTCACCCCACAGTACATCACATCATCCCCAGGGTACACTCTCTCACCCCCTCAGTACCCATCATTGTACATCACATCATCATCCCGGATACACTCTCTCACCCCACAGTACATCACATCATCCCCAGGGTACACTCTCTCAACCCTACAGTACATCACATCATCCCCAGGGTACACTCTCTCACCCCTACAGTACATCACATCATCCCCCGGGTACATTCTCTCACCCCCACAGTACATCACATCACCCCCAGGGTACACTCTCTCACCCCCACAGTACATCCACATCACCCTCACCCCCACAGGGTACACTGTCTTCATCCCTCAGTACTCACATCATCATCCCAGTGTCATCAATGCTCCTAATGTCAATCACTGGATTGTCTGGTCCAGACTTTATCATTTACAAACCCCCATTATACAGCAGGAATATTAGTGAGTGTGGCCTTCAACACAAACAAACATTATTACCCAGTATACTGACCATACCTGTGCTCATGAGTTTCAAGATTTAACTGAAATGCTATTGAAACCACACTGAAACTCATCTTCTGCAACATAATTGTGGGGTAGTCCAGTGGTTAAAGTGTCAGCTTGGAATGAACCATGTCCGGTTTCAATTTGCCACATCGGCTCAATATCTGAAAACCATCTCAACTGGCCAGCAGTTAAATTTGAAGGAGTGACTAGATCTGAAACCCTCATCACAGACAGTTGCAAAATCATCCACAAACCATTTAATGTTTGTCAATAGGTATCACGCTGTCCGAGTATTTCCGTGACATGGGTTACAATGTGTCCATGATGGCTGACTCAACATCTAGATGGGCCGAGGCTTTGAGAGAAATCTCTGGTCGTCTGGCCGAGATGCCTGCTGACTCTGGCTACCCAGCCTATCTTGGCGCTCGTCTGGCCTCCTTCTACGAGAGAGCTGGTCGCGTCACGTGTCTCGGAAACCCCAGCAGAGAGGGTTCCGTCAGTATTGTCGGACCGTAAGTATTTTGTCATATACATGAAGTATTACTAATGGAACATTTATCCAATAAAGTTGGTATTTCATTTACGATATATTATGGGGTGATCACTGTTCAAACTTAACATCAGAGAGTCTTTGTTATAACCCTCAATTTGTATATTAACAAACTTTATGGATAACAACTTCTTTTTTATTTCATGAGTGCGACGTTTTTGATACAGATTCTTGTACCATTGTCAAACAGTACAAGACGACGGTACAAGAATCTGTATCGTAACGTCGCACCCACGAAATACAAGAAGTTGTTATCCATAAAGTTTATCAATATTGTACTTACCAACTTCTAAAATGCCACTCAAAGACCTCAGTCTGAAAGTAAGAACTTTTGGATGTCCGTTGGTTTAAGTGTTCTTGTAGCAAATTTGAATAACCACATAATAAAAATGATCCTGAGGATTTAAAGGGACGTTACTGTGTTTGAAATTGTTCTGATTACCTCCCTTGAAGTATGATGCCCAGTCCATCAGTGCTGTCTGTCTGCTTGTAGTGTGTCTCCCCCTGGTGGTGACTTCTCTGACCCCGTGACGTCTGCGACCCTGGGTATTGTACAGGTGTTCTGGGGGTTGGACAAGAAGCTTGCTCAACGTAAACACTTCCCCTCCATCAACTGGCTCATCAGCTACAGCAAGTACATGCGAGCACTCGATGAGTTCTATGACAAGAACTTCCCCGAGTTTGTGCCACTCAGGAAGAAGGTACATCAGCTAATTATACCCATTAAAACATTTATCTTGAATTCTAAGCTTTATACTCTTGATGTGCTAGGTGGTCAAAACTGTTATTTTGTTCAAAGTTTGTTTCTTAAACTTTCTGCCTCTTCAAGAGAATTGGTCTTCAGCAACCCAATTTCGTGGATTTCTTGAATTTGATTGATTGACTTATTATAGAGAGATAGGGCATCTTCATTTGAGTGGAGAATTGATCTTCAGTAACCCATGCTTGTTGTAAGAGGCAACTAATGGGATCGGGTGGCCAGGGTAACGGACTTGGTTGACACATATCATCGCATCCCAACTGCATAGCGTCGACAGGTTTTACTCTTCAAAATGTTTTCATTTTTTATTGTATAAATTGTTTTCGTCACGATATGGCTGAGATATTGCCGATGTGACATTAAACATTAACTCACTCACTCACCAACTGCATAGATTGAAGTCCATTGGCCCAGACCCGAGTAATAACAGCCCACAGTCTAATAGCTGGAAAAAAATAATAACATTGACCCATGTAACCTGTTGATAAAATTGTGACCGGAGAAAAATGTTGAGTTGGTCTATCAACCAAATTCTGCCTGTCAACACTAAGTATTTTCTCTTACAGTGCAAGGAGATCCTGCAAGAGGAGGAAGATGTCTCAGAAATTGTGCAGCTTGTTGGAAAGGTAGATCTATTGCTTGTTCCTTCAGGCTTCTAGGGGCGGTGGGGTAGCCTAATGGTTAAAGCGTTGGCTCGTCACGCCGAAGACCCCGGGTTCGAATCCCCACATAGGCACAATGTGTGAAGCCCATTTCTGGTGTCCCCCGCCGTGATGTTGCTGGAATATTGCTAAAAGCGGCGTAAAACCAGACTCAGTCAGTCAGTCCTTCAGGCTTCTACAGTAAAGAATATCCATGAAACACTTTCCTGAACATTCCGGAATGGTCCTGTGTTTGTTGTAAGAGGCAAATATTGGATCACGTGGATCTGTCGATGGATGTTATTGCATCCCACGTATCTGTCCTCCAAATAGGAATCAGTGGATTATAGATCTGTAGTGTTGGGAATTGTTTAAAATCTCATAATTGATGATTGGTTCGTTACTACAATCAATCATCGAAAATAATTGGTTAGCGTCATTTTTTAATTTTGTTCATGCACATAAAAATAAGAAAAAGGCATGTAGTTCTTTTTGGGTTTTTTTGGCAAATTTTCATATCTGTAAAGGATGACTAGTATGTTAGGAACATAAATTTCCTGGAATCTTTAAGATAAATTCAATCATGACTTGAAACGAGCTTGTAGTGCTTACGAAATATAACTGACAAAACCAACCATGTGAAAAAATTGTTAATGAAAACAAGTGTTCCAGAATTGTTTGTGTTCGATTATGAGAAATTATGATCGATTGCTTGGTCGTTTAGTCACTGCGACCAATCTTCGATTATTTCAATTAATCGGACCACCACTAATTATCTGACCAGTAGTTGTTTGCAGACACCCATTATATATTATGTCTGGAATATTGAGTGTGGAGTTAAACAACGTACAGACAAACATTTCAGGACATGCTCAGATTAGAAGTTTAGATTATTGTCACTCTTGAAATTCCTTATGAACTGTGTTTATAGATTTGTCAGCACCTCAAGGTTTTGTTAACGATGTAAGACTTGCATCACTAATGGATATGCCTTGACAAACCTGAAGTGCTGTTAATAGCAGTGATAAACGCACATCATCTCCATCACTTATAGTTGTCTTGGCAAACTTGTTCCCGTGCGGAAACTGTGACGCTGACAGGCATTAAACCTGTATCTATCCTCCACAGGGCTCCCTGGCAGAGCCAGACAAGATCCTCCTGGAGGTTGCCAAACTCATCAAGGATGACTACCTGCAGCAGAACGGCTACACTCCGTACGACAGGTGAGTGAAATCTCTCTGATCTGTGACTTCAACAAAACAGCACATTAGTTGGTAACTAAATAATATTTAATTATGTTATTAAAATTTTGAAATCTAAATTCAAAGTTGTTTCTAACTTGGGACAGAATATGAGCTCCTGATCAGATCTTGATAAATCTCTGCTCAATTAAGCTTTCTATATAATCATAATTGTTATGTCTAAACAACTGCTTGTTCTGCTCCGTCCAGGTTCTGCCCCTTCTACAAGACAGTGGGTATGTTGAAGAACATCATCTCGTTCTACGACCTGGCTCGGCACGCAGTGGAGAGCACAGCACAGAGCGAGAACAAAATCACCTGGTCCATCATCCGAGATCAGATGAACGACATCCTCTACAAACTCAGCAGTATGAAGTTCAAGGTCAGTCTATCAGTCTCAGAAGCAACTTGTGTGTGTGTTCTGAACATACACACCGGAGTGTGACACTTGTTCCTTGGTGGATGAATACTTCTGTGTTTAAGACATATATTTAAGTCCATCGCATCAGATCTATGAAGATCCGGGTTAGAGGGTTAGAATTGATCTTCAGCAACCCATGCTTGTTGTAAGAGGCGACTAACGGAATCGGGTGGTCAGGCTCGCTGACTTGGTGGATGCATACTTCTGTGTTTAAGACATATATTTAAGTCCATCGCATCAGACCCATGCAGATCCGGGATAGAGGGTTAGAATTGATCTTCAGCAACCCATGCTTGTCGTAAGAGGCGACTCGGGTTCGTTCCCTGGTCGCGTCATACCAAAAGACGTTAAAATATGGTACTTGTTGGTCCCTGCCTGGCGCTCAGCATTAATGGGTACAACAAGGACTGGTCGGCTCGGAGTCAGTATAATGTGTCTGAGTGGGGTATTCATGCTTCACTGCGGCATGGTGTCTCAGTGAGCTAGCACTATAAAACCAGCTTAAGTCTGGGCTAGTACAAGCAGCCGCACATACACATACACACGCATGCACGTCGTCATATGAGCAAAATATTCTCAAGCACGACGTAAAACCCAATTTCACCCATGAAGATCCGGGTTAGAGGGTTAGAATTGATCTTCAGCAACCCATACTTGTCGTAAGAGGCGACTAACAGAATCGGGTGGTCAGGCTAGCTGACTTGGTGGACACATGTCATCGAATCTCAATTGATTAGATTGATGCTAATGCTGTTGATTACTGGATTCGGGCCCAGACTTGATTATTTACAGACTGACGCCATATAAGTGGTATATTGCTGAGTGTGGCGTTAAGCAACGACCAAACAAAACTTTTGTTGTAGTGAAAATGCCTTCAAAAGCCACCCCAACTGAATCTGATTTGATATTTCCCAAACTGTTTTAGCAGTTTTCTGCCTGAGGATCATCCTTGGGATGTCATCAGTGATTTAAAGCAAAATCAGCTGAATTTAATGTCTTAGAACTATCTTTGTCCTCATTCCAGGACCCTGTCAAAGATGGCGAGGCAAAGATCAAGCAGGACTTTGACGAACTCTACGAGGAGATGCAGACGGCGTTCAGGAATCTAGAAGACTAGACCAAGGTCAAGGTCACCCGACCATGTGATACGAAGGCTGTGTTTTTAATGTGGACCATATTTCTCTGTTAGAATACACCACGTAGGTACAACAACACTGAGTCTCCTTGTGGATGTTTTATAAAAGGCACAGAATCAAATGTTGAGCTTAGTGTTTGTTAAGTCGTAATTAGCTCAGGCTCTTTGGTTTCCCTTAATCCAGTCTCTTCACTGTCAGGAGTATCCTGGTTTAACATTTCTGATCGTCAATCAAACTGGGCCTCACTTCTGTAGTTCTGTGTGTATCTGACATCTGAGAAGTATTGGTTACATAGTTTCCATAATATAACGGACTGTATTCCCGGAATGGCTGTAGATAGCGGGTATTTTGTAAATATGGATGTATTATGATTGAATCAAGATTCAAAGTCTTTGTATGTATAAATTGAACATCTTCATCGCCAAATTAAACTACAGCAAATCGTATATCCCATTTCAGCTTCGACTCATAGGTCAATGAAGGGTATCTGGAACCATAGTAAATATTTTATAGAGATATGGTGACAATTCATTTTAGGAGCAAATAGCTCAGCTTTCACTCTTAGTGCAAAAGATATTTCTCAGTTTTTGAAAGAGACACTGGTCGGATACTACTGACACTTGACTGCATTATTTTTTCTTGAAATGGAGCAGAAATTTGTCCTACTGTAATAGTTGCGATTTTGACGATGCATCTGCTAACAAGATTCATTTGTTTACTGATTACACAGCTGTTACCAAGATTAATTCATATACTGAAATGTGTTGGTTCCATGGCAATAGCAAATACTACTGTCTTGACAACACATCCCAGCAGTCAGTCACTTTTAGCCTGATATCTCTGTTTACATGATGTGTAATGGGTTGCTGTAGGTCAAATATTTCATGAATATTTGCAAACATTTTTTAAAAATGTTATAATTGGTAAAATGTGAAAAACAGGCCCCATTACAATTTAAGGTGTTTCATTATACAAATGTGAGTTTAGAACAAGTTAAGTCTTATGATTGAAATCCATTATTTCTTTGAGTGAATGACAAATTGTGAAGTTTTGTATTGAGATTGTTTGTGTATGTCCACAACGTTCCCAAAATGCTGTTTGTGTTTGGATTTGAACATTTGTTTGTAAGAATTTCACCCCAGAGTACTAATTGTTGAGAAGAACTATTCAGTGTACTGACCATTCCATCCTATTATTGATTCATGGAATCATTGTTTACATCGTATGTTTCTCTGAAAATATTGTTCAGTCATATTATTAGAAATTTTGTTTGTTTGTTGGCGAAAATTAAGGACACTCTGTGTTCTAAATGATATATGATGTCAAGTATGATATAAAAACATTATGAATTAAGAATTTTTTTATCTAATTTTATTACAATATGATAGATCTGTGTTTACACTAAACATTTTGGATCTTTACGAGACTTAATGTCTGCAGTAGCATTGTAATGACAAAATTCAAGTTATATATATTATGAGAACTTAGTTTAAGTAAACAAAATGTGTGTAAATCATTTTCAAAATTGGGTTTTCTTGTTTTGATTTTCAGGATTTATTGACAAACAGATGTATATCATCTGTTCCCAGAATTATGATTACATATCTTATAATGTGAGTCCACCTTGAGCAATTGTTGAAGTTTGTCATTTTGTAATTTATTTCATGAAGCTTTTTGTTGAGACTGCTTTACATCAAGTTCATCCAGTGGCTAGTCATGCTCCACATTCGAACCCTGTCCTATACAGCACAATTAATGCTTGCTCTTTTCATGACATCCATTTTGCTTTGATGCAAAGGTTTGTGTACACTTAATGTTTCTTTAACAATGAATGCTGTTTGATATTTATTACAAGTGTCACTGTATAGTTCAGAGATGTACACATACTCTAGGTGATGCACTACGTACAAGAGAGTAGAAAAATACTGTATGGTATTATTTCTTGTAGGATACAAGTAGCATATGTTGCACCGATAGATTTTGGCGTTACAGGAATGGGGTGTTTACCATTGTTACCATGGTTTTGGCAGATTTAGGCCAAAATAATCATCCTTGTAATGTTATCTTGAGTGATTTGAAGCAGAATCAGCTGAATAGAATGTCTTTGAACTTGTCCTCATGCAAATCACAGCGCATGACAGTGAAAGTACTAGTCATGAGTAGTCTCCCTTAGTTTGTCTTCCTGACATGGTTATCCCCCTTTGATAGTTATCAATAATCTGCTCACTGGTATGGAATTGTAAAGTAGTTGCCAAGGATTGTCAAGTATTCGTCAGATTGTCAAGTATTCATTCTTGATGACCAAGAGGTCACTTGCTGCAGCAGTTGCCTCCCCTAGTTTGGGCGTCTGATGTGCCCACCATTACCCACCTGTCAGTAACGTGCCCCATCTTGCTTCTTCTTTGTAGGAGGGTGGAGTTGACAGGCTATGATATTATCATTACAAAATAAATATGCTGGAAATAATATGACGTCTGTGTTTATTTTGGAATAAAATCAAAGAGATTGGATGAAGTTTGAAATATTAAGAATGTTGCGACTGGATATTTTGTGAGAATGAATAATAGCAGTGGTGGTGGTGGAATTGGGTTTAACGTTGTGCTTGAGAATATTTCGCTCATATGACAACGTGCATGCGTGTGTATGTGTATGTGCGGCTGCTTGTACTAGCCCAGACTGAAGCTGGTGCTAGCCCACTGAGATACCATGCTGCAGTGAAGCATGAATACCCCACTCCGACACATTATACTGACTCCTGAGCGCCAAGCAGGGACCAACAAGTACCTTATTTTAACGTCTTTTGGTATGACGCGGTCGGGGATCGAACCCGCGACCTTCCACACTCCGGGCGGACGCTCTAACCACTGCACCACGGAGGTGGTCGAATAATAGCAGTAACATAGTGGAGGTAAATAGCTGAGTCTCAGGCAGACTTGCTGAAAGACGTAGTCCTGGAAAATCTCTGTCAGGATCCACTGGAATATCGTTCACTGTTTATACTGTAGTTAGGTTTTGCTTCTTCCGAGACTATTCAGCAGTACTTTGGTGCAATCTGGAGAGATAGACCCGTGAAGGTCCGGGTTAGAAGGAACCTTCAGTAACCCAAGCTTGTTGTAAGAGGCACTAACGGGATCGGATGGTCAGGCTCGCTGACTTGGTTGACACATGTCATCGGTTCCCAATTTCGCAGATCGATGCTCATGCTGTTGATCACTGGATTGTCTGGTCCAGACTCGATTATTTACAGACCGCTGCCATATAGCTGGAATATTGCTGAGTGTGACGTAAAACTCAACTCACTCAATTTTGGTGCCGTGTGATGCCAATAATTCAGTGCTGAAATTTTTTCATCATCTGTTTTACCTGAAAGTGACAAATCATATTTAGTATATTTAGCCCAAATCTGATAAGGATACATTCTATGTAAAAATAACTTGTACACCAATTTGACTCCAGGAAAATATAAGTGGCACCCTTCATAGAATCATTCCTGGAGGAAATTCAGGTTAAAACAGTCACAACCAGCAGATCCTTGGGTGGATAGAGACACAACTCTGAACGGGAGAAGCTCAGGCTAAAGCTATCCATTTTCTCACAGGAGACAAAAATGAAAACAAAAGCAAGGTTTCATAAAATACATTTTATATAGCTCTAAATAGCAGGATATAATTTAGTAAGAACAAAATATGAAATCTGTCACTCAAGCAATGGAAATATACAAGTAGGCTTGCTGTACACCACACAATGTTATAGTTAAATTCAGGCTACATGACTTAGCACCATCAAAATCAGGTAAAAATCTGAACTATCATTCCAAGTTACAGTGACATGAAAAAGGCTTCCACCACTTCTCAACCTCTAAGTGTCTGGTTATATCCGCTGCATTTATTAAATGTTCAATTATCAAAAGGGCCTAGGGACAGCCTAGTGGTTTAACCTGTTGCAAATCTATCAAGAAAGGTTTTGAGGGACAAAGGTCTTGAAATTTCTTCCCAAACCAAGGCATATGGTTTATATATTAACTTACCGATTGGCCATTCAGGTCAAAGAAAAGGAACTGGTGGGAATGATATTTCTAAATTGTCTGAAGCAGTTATCTGTATAAACTGGGTTTAAACTCTTTTGACTATTTCAGATATATCATTGCATGACTGCTTTATGTTATTATTGGATATTTATAAAGCGCACATGTCCACGCACTAGTGCATACTCAATTATAAGGAGCTGGTATTTTTTCCCTCGATCATTGGATGTCAATCTCAACTGCACATCTTATTATCAGTCTCATCTCCCTGGGAAGCTTACAACTCTTGCTGCCACTAGGCGTACCGATTTATTGTGGCTTTCTCATCCTAACGAGGTACCCATTCACAGCTGGGTGGACTGGGACACATAGTCACAGTACTTTGTCCAACTTCACTGCACGTTGCTGTACCCGCAACTGGGTGTTTGCACGTTTCATGTGGCCTCCATCTGGTCATATACCAACGGATTCGTGGGTTCTTTTATGTGCACAGGGTTGTGTACTGTACTCTAGGGATTGTGACAACACTGAAAGAGTCTGCACACAAAGTTGACTCCGAGGTTTTTACACCCGGTCACAGGTGGGCTCGATCCCGGCACCTTATGCTCGCTGGATCACTAGTCTGGTGCCTTAGCCAGCTCGCCCACCAAACTCCCATGTTGGATGAAAGTCCGCATGTGTAAGTCATCTTAAACCATTACAGGTTTGGTTACTCCCACGAGTAGCTAAGACAAGCAGCAAGAATCATGATTTGGGGAATTCCAGATTCTGACATATCTAAGGGAGATTACTCAGAGAACTAAAAATGACTTCCACATGAGTTATGTTTATATGCACACTGTCTTATCAATTTTGTTATTAAAAAGAAATAAAAATTGAAATCGTCAACACACAGCCGAACTACCAGAAGTAGGGGTTGTCTTCATAATCTGACAATCTGAGGTATGTAGGCAGTAGTATCATCACAACCTCATCCTCCCCAGTCCAGGGTATATTGTTTCTGTTGATTAATACCCTTAGTAACCCTCAAAGAATAGTTATCAGTATGTGTTTATCTAATTAGAAAGCAGCAATATTTCTTCACCATGGATCTTCATATTTCACAACCATGTTTGCCCCCACAAGTGTTTTGTGGGGGCAGTGGTGTAGCCTAGTGGTTAAAGCCATGGCTCGTCACGCCAAAGACCCGGGTTCGATTCCCCACATGGACACAATGTGTTAAGCCCATTTCTGGTGTCCCCCGTCGTGATATTGCTGGAATATTGCTAAACGTGGCGTAAAACTAAACTCAGTCTGTCAGTCAGTCAGTCAGTCAGTCAGTCAGTTTTGTGTATTCCATCTGTGCCTAACAGAAACATATCCATTTACTACAAACCCAGTCATTAAAACGACTAAACTGATTATATAATGGACAGCGTTATCTATGCTGTAATTAACTCGCTGTCATAATCTAATAGAAATCGGACAGTGAGGTCACCTAGCAGGAACTACTTTCAGTGAGCTTTGTACATCCTTTGTGCTAAACAACTATCACAGAATGTTCCCTAAACAGTCAGAGAGTGGTTTCTTGATGTGCGAGTACGTATGTTAACAAACATGGCTGCAACTATTTTGGCACTACATTGTAGCGGTTCACTGAGGCTTTGTATTCTTTCTCACTTTCTGAAGCAATAATAGTGAACAGCAACTTTTCATAACCTTGAGTTCTCTTAAGAATGAGTGAGTGAGTTTAATTTTACACCGCTTTTAGCAATATTCCAGCAATCTCACGGCGGGGGACACCAGAAATGGGTTTCACTCATTGTACCCATGTAGGGAATCGAACCCGGGTCTTCGGCATGAAGAGTGCACGCTTTAACCACTAGGCTACCCCACCGCCCCCTCTTAAGAATGAGATCACGATAA